GCAGCGGGGCAGGCGCCGAGGAGCCGCGGCCCCCCTGGGGCGGGTCGTTCCGTCCTTGCGCCTCTCCCGAGGCTGGGAGCGGGCGGGCGGCGGGCGCCCCCCAGGCCGCGGCGCCCGGGAGCCCGCAGCGGGCCGGCGGGAGGGGCCGCTCGCCAGCCTTGTGCGAGCAGGAGCCCCGCCACAGCTACAGGTTGTCTTGAAACAGGGGAGGCAGCGACTTCGAAGCACGCCAACTCCGAGCGTGCGCTTTCCTGCCTCACGGCCAACAGGACAACGTTTAGCAATGCTTCAGCTTCCTTCCCTTACCTCAGGGCTATGGAAGAGCAAGTCCAAGAATTCAGTCTCAGAGCTTGTAAGGGTAACCATCCTTTTGCCCAAAACCCCCACTTCGCTTCCTAATTAAAACTGTCTAGGATGATTATCCTGTTGATTACCAACACTTGATGCTGGCACACATCCTCCACAGAACCATACCAGGCAGAAATGCCATTTTGATTCTAGACAAGAAATACTACGTCTAATGCTAGCTTGCATAGAACAGTCAAAAACATGGTCTGTTTTTTACATATCTCAAATACTTACCAAGGATGTTGCATTATTGGTCTTCCTGGTGATTTATAGTGATTAAACACTTTTAAAGACCTAATTTCCCACGTGGCCTACCTAAGAAATAAGCATTGCAAAAACAATACCTGGTGATAGTAACTGTATTATCCAGCACTAAATTTAGATGGTGGATGGAAGAGATCACAGCAAGGCAAGGACATTTTGGTGAGAAATTGCAAATGAATTTACAGAATTGTTGAGGTTCGAAGGGACCTCCTGAGAGGAGGTCAACCCACCTGGCCCAAGCAGAGTCAGCTAACAGAGGTTGTCCAGGAGCGTGTCCAGTTGAGTTTTGAGTATCTCCACAGATGAGACTCTGCAGCCTCTGCCAGTGTACAACATCCCTCACAATAAAAAAAGTGTTTTATTGTGTTCCAGTGCAACTTCATGTGCTCTAATTTGTGCCCATTGCCTCTTGTTCTGTCAGTGGGGACTACCAAGAAGAGGCTGGCTCCCTCCTCTTCATTGCATCCCATCAGCTATTTATGCATGTACGTAAGATTACCTGAGCCTTCTCTTGTCCAAGCTAAAGTCTCAGCCTCTCCTCGCATGACAGATGCTCCAGTCCCTTAATCATCTTTGTGGCCCTGTGCTGGGCTCCCTCTAGTTAAGTCCATATCTATCTTGTTCTGGGGAGCCTAGAACTGGATGCAGTACTGCAGGTACAGCCTCACCAGTGCCAAGTAATTTGCTCAAGAAGTCCAGGGAATGTCTGCACTGCCAGCACTGTCAAGAAGGGTCTAGCCAAGGTTAAAAAAAAAAAATCTCATAACAATTCCTCCTTCTCAGCTGTTCCTGCTGCAAACACAGTTAAGTATATACACTGATGGAAAGGAATAATAGGTTTAAATGTACTGGATTTGAAGTAAACACCATCTCAGAAGTCATTCCTAAGGAAAAGCTACACACTTGCACTTGAAGTGAATCATCCTAGTTGAACATTTACTTGCTTAAGTGAGTGTAACAGTGCAAAAGGCCACATTCTCTCAAGCCAAAATTGTTACTATTGGATAGTATCTAAATCCTCAGAACAGACACATGTGCAGACAGTAACAGTGCAGGCCTTCATACTGATCTGGAAAGGCTATTCAGCTGCTGTGGGGAGTAGCATGGTAGGAACTGAGGTACAGCTACTAGCATATTTCAGACACTGGACAACTTGCCCAAAATACAATTTAAGTGATATGACAAGTAAAATGAGTAAATACCAACCACACTTAAAAAAAAATTTATTAGAATGCAGCAATGACTGTCAGAAATAACATTCTGATCATCTAATTCTATAGTGAGAAAACATTGCATTGTGAAGTTCTCATTTCTTGACCATTTTGTATTTGAACGACCAATCACTTTGGAAATCAGAATGTTTAGAAAATACCAGCTTTGTTAGTCAGGAATGAAGTGAGGGACTGGATAGGCAGAACGGAAGCAGTGCTTAATAATGTAGAGAATAAAAAGATTTTGAAGGAAAGTTTTTTTTTTCTCTCCATGGCTTTTTAATTCTATTGAGAAATGCACTAAAATCCTCTTCCATGAGAACACAGAGCACTACAGCAGTGCCAGACACACTTTATACATTTCTTTAAGCCTGAAATTTGCCAACGTGTTCACGAGCTATGATCATCCTTTGAATCTGAGCAGTTCCCTCATAAATCTGAAAAGAAGAATTGCAATAATGTTAGCTGATGATTTTTTAAAAGGTTTTAACAGATCTACACTTTTAAACATTCATGGCACTAATCCAGTGTGGATTAGGATGTGCGTAAAGACAGAGAAAACTGAGAAAAGTCCAGTGTGACAGAGTAACTACAGCGAGCTAAATGGAATAAATAACATACAACATATTAGGAGACAGTTTTGTTCTCTCAGGTGCTCTTATCTAAACTCAGTAAGGTTCTCAGGCAAACAAACAGACATGGTGGGTGAAGAAGGAGAATTTCTTATCTGAGGAAGAAAATACATAATCTAGGTTTTAAAACAATACATGAAGGAAGGAGCTGACTTGTGCTGCAAGTGTTGTATTTTCTTTGACTAGCCTTTTAAGGTCATACCAAATGTTCTTTTGGATCCATTTATTTCCATTGCTTCTTGTTAACTAGTACTCTCTCCTGTATAGTTTTGTTTGGGTTTTTGTTTTGTTTTGTTTTTTTTAACCATGTATTCTTGCATTTTCTTCTAGACACAGTCTGCATCATCGCTCTGTTGTATTTGTTTGCTGGCAGCAAAGTCAAAGATAGACAAAAAAGCATATATGAAGCTCTAATGCCGAAGGAGGTCATATGCTCCACAAGTATACTGGAGCGTAATGCAAGGGTTTGAAGCAACATAGTTTAGGGGTTCAAGTGTTTCAGATCCCTATTCTGCCAGAATTTAGTTTGGCAAATTGCTCAAATTCATGCAAATTCACTATCTCATTCACTTACAGGAACAATCTTCCCAAGAACCTTACAAAGTTTTTTGAAAATAAAAACACTAGAACCTGTGTTCACATTAGTTTTTTGGTTCAGAAGAAATTGTTCATTCCCAAAGTGAATTCTCTGACTGCTGCTGCTTACCCCATGTTGATGCAGTTCATAGAGCAGGCTGTTTTGTGAATACTAGGTGCCATCTGGAGCAAACTGAAATGGAAGTTCTGCTTTCTCTATATACCAAATACCCACCAATCTCTAATGAAGACATAATGGCCCAAGCCTTCAACAGCATCTTTACAATTACATGCACAGTGGGGACATACAGTCCAAGGGACCAAAGAGGCTCGCTATGAACTCAGTCTGCCCAAACTGCTTGTAGTGTAGTTGTCGGGGCCTCAGCAGCTATTCCTGCAATCTATTCATCTGCTCCTATTGCACTAAATTACTTGCTGATGAAGACAGCCATGGAACTCAAGTGTTAAGGCATCAAAACTCACAATCTTCTTAAGTAATTACAAGAAAGGTTTTGGTTTATAAGCCAATCAAAATAGTTTCAAGAATCATTGACAATTAAAGAAGGGAAGTTTTCCAAATCTGAGAAGGGAAACTAAGTTAGAGTTTCTACCAGAGTAGCCTAGATTTGTAGCCAGACAAACCTAGAGCAGAGTAAGGACATGTAAAAATGTTACCAGTAAACACAGTATTAGAATTGTATAATACTGAAAAAGATCAAATACATGGAAGAAAAGTTGGAAAACCAAGTTTTTGTACACGAAACATACAGCCAAAAGCATATGCCCTCTGGAACTGGGCAGCAATACAGTAAAGCACAGTGAAGTGCAAGGTATAATCAAGAGACATGGACAAAATAACTGTAAAGACAAAAGCCTTTCCTGAACTCTTTTGGGGATGAAATGGAACAGAAAAACACCAACAATTCAATACTAAATCTGATTAATTTGAACAATTAAAAAAAAGTCTACTTAGCCATACATTTGTGATGGATCAGTGTAATGGAAAATCTAAATAACTGGGAGCCTGTAAAATCAATCTCAGCTTCCAAATAAACTTCTAACCCTCACACCACCTTTCTCTAGAAAAGCATGCAACCTGACAGGAAAAAAGCCCAATCATAATAAAGTTCAATTAATCATTCATTTCCTCACTCATAGGAGTGCAATTAGTTCTAAGAACCTTTAGATTCCAAAATAGTGGTTGTCTTTCCTTAAATAGAGAAAAATAAATTCTTGGCTAGTGAGTATAATAGTTATCATTTTAAAGTCAGCTGTAAGAGAAATATTAACCACCTAGAATCTTAAGAATGACAGCTGCTATAGCAACTAACATTACAGGTCATGGTCTGCAGACATTTCTTGGTATCTATTTTGATATATTTTATCTAGTCACTATTAATGTCACATAATGTCAATAAAGATTACTGGTTTTGCTGAACACAATTAAAATATTCTTGCTGAATACAGAACTGTAGCATAGTATATGCTAATAGAAGAATTACGACATGACATGGAATAATTTCTTGGCAATCATGCTGCGGAAAAAAACTTGGGGATTACGGGTGACCATGGGCTAAACATGAGTAAATATGAGCGGTTTTTGTGTTAAAAAAACAAGGCTAATCACTCCGGGTTGTGTCACACTTCTGTTAATACAACACATGCAAGATAATCATTCCATGACACTCAATACTGGTGGTATCTCAACCAAAGTATTCCACCCAGCTTATAATACCAAAGTTTCAAACAGAAGGTTTCGAGTACAGCAACAAATGATGAAGAGGCTGGAAACAGAAAGGAAACAAAACCAAACAAAAACAAAAACCCAAACAAACAAAAAACCCACCCCCAACTTATGAGGAAAAAGGTGAAGAAGCTACTTTAGCATTCAGGCTAAGAGGAAAGCTAAACTACAGGCAGGCACCAGTCCAAGATACATATGAATGGTCAGAGGATTTCCACCACTGAAGGTTTTCAAGAACAACATTATACATAAACCATCTCTACTTACAGAATACCAAAGCAAGCATTAGTATTTTCATCAGTTTTCTCTATGTTTTTTTCTTCTAAGAGTTCAAAAGATTCAAAATTAAGAGTCCAAGAATTTCAAAGAGTTACCACATTAAAAAAAGAAAAAAAAAATTTCTTATGTGGGTTGACTTGTTGGTCCAGTGCAATGATTTCTATATGCAAGAAGTTGCCTGATTTGAGTGACTCTTTCTTTAAATTGAAGGATTATTGCTTTCATTCTAAAAACATTCTTTTTTGTATGTGTACATCATGATTTGAAATAAGTAGCCGTAAGTTTATTTTATATATTTATGCATTACTATAAAGATCACATTCTCTCTTTTACTTACCTGGAAGATTTTAGCATCTCTCATTAGTTTTTCTACAGGATATTCAGTATTAAATCCATTTCCTCCAAAAATCTGTACTGCATCTGTAGCTACTTGGTTTGCAATGTCACCAGCAAATGCCTTTGCAATGGAAGCATAGTAGGTGTTCCTGCGACCAGCATCAACTTCCCATGCAGCTCTCTGGTAAGCCATCCTAGCAAGTTCCACTTTCATTGCCATTTCAGCAAGCAAGAAAGACACTGCTTGGTGCTATGAATGATGAAATAAACTAGGTTAACATTGCCTGATTAATATTCTATGACATCCAAGAAAAATATAATCTTCTTAATAAAGTGATCTCTTCAACAAACTCAGTAAATTGTACTAGAGGAGTTCTACAGAATATGGATCAGGCTTTCATAATTGTATGTTGAATTAGACTTTTAAGTTTTTAGTTCTCAAATCCATTTAGTCATAGGGATTAAATACTGAATTATGAAGTTCTTCTTTACTATTTATGAGATTGGTATTTACCTTGCTGTTTATTCATATTTCTTTAAAACTGGTAAGCAGTGTGATTTGCAATGTATTCTATTAGTATTCGTACTGTGCATCTCATTTCACATACCTCAGATGTTTCTTCCTTTCCTGAAAATCCCTGTTTAATAGCACTGAAAAACTTAAGTATGTCCTGATAGTACCTGAGTTTTGTGTTTGGGGGCAGAGTTTTCTTTCTGCTTTTACTATTATCATTGATAAATTACCCCTGAAGTTACCACATAGCTAAGTTTACTTAAATGGTGCTGACCTATATACTTGGAACTCCAAGATGGCAGAGATACAATGTAAAAATTAAGGAACTAAAAAAGTCAAGGAATAACCTTGGCAAATCAGTAGTAGGACATCTGGTGTGAAAACATAGCTTTTATTTATATTCTCTCTCTTCCCCCCCACCTCCACTTACTTCAACAATTGGTTTCCCAAAGGTTTTTCTCTCCAAAGCGTACCTAGTAGCTTCATCAAGTGCTCTTTTTGCTAATCCAACAGCACCAGCTGCTACCTGAATTGAATACAACACAGGATAAAAAATCAGAAACTCCTGCTATATTTTTTAAATAAGTTATTTCTGATACTTACAGGTGGTCTGGTCTTATCAAAAGCTCCCATTGCGATTTTAAAGCCAGCTCCCTCAGTTATTAATACATTTTCTTTTGGGACTCTCACATCTTCAAAGACAATACCTCTTGTATCCGAGCAGCGTTGACCCATATTCATTTCCTGAAATGGGAGATTTACAGAGGTGTAGCTAAATTGTTTTATTCAAAGGTACGATATGTTTTCATTGTTTAGTTTACTCAAAGCATAAAGTATGCTTTGTTCCCCAAAACACTGCATCTAAAAATTACCATATACACAACAAATACTAGTTTTGCGCTTGCAGACCAGCATCCCCTTAATTTGTCTAAGCTGGGCAGTTTACTTTCTCCTTATATGAAATCAGTTCTGTAGCTGTAATCAGTAGTCTTGCCTTTCTCTAGTTCAACTACATCCTTTGAGATGGGAGTGGAAAAAGTGAAGAATCTAATATGCAGGCAGTACAGGTGTACTACAAGTAAATAAATAAATAAATAAATAAGCTTTTCAAGTTTTTGGATTCCTTTCCTAATGTTCCTAATCATCCAGTTTTGCCTACTACTAAAAATAGTACTTCGCCCCCCGCCCCCACCCCTAAAGAGAGAACTAGCACCAGTGTCTCCAAGGCCTCTTCCTCGACCAGCAGTAGCTAAAATTAAAGCTCGCTGTGTGTGTATTTATGGTTAAAATTGTCCAATTTGCTGCTTATCCTTTCAAGGCATATTACTCTCATTTATTGGCACTTGTCAATAAAATAGTTCTCAAAGATTCTTTTGCAGCTGTTCAAAGTCATCTTACTTTAGACCATTCTGAATAATTTCTTATCTGAATTAATAACATTATAATTAAGTATATCTTATGAATAGTTTCTGTATATTGTGAAAATGAAAAGATCATTGTACATGAGCGTATGAAAATGTTCAGTTGCGCAACAGCCTTTTTTCTTTAATGGTAATTTGTTGCATTATTGGTTTAGAACTGAACAGTAATTCCTGTCTTGTCAAATAAGAGGTATACTCTTCACCTTTCTTCCAATTTGGATTCCAGGGCTATCTGCTTCCACAATGAATCCAGTAAAGGCTTTGCTTGCAGGAGCCTTTGGATCTGGATTGGTACGAGCTAGCAAAAAATACCTAGTGTAAAAAAAAACAGAAGAGGGATGAAGTTTATCCTTACATTTAACAACCAGATACTTTTTGAGCGAACATTTTAAATGTTTTTACGTGCATTTCTACCATATAATAAATTCTATCTGTAAGTTAAAACCCCTTTTTTCTTGCCTGTCCCAAAAATAAACTGAGAGGGAACAAAAGAGGAAGTTTCAAAGATTCAATTACTTCAGATCACTATGCAAAGATTGTCCACCTTTTCCATGTGTTGTTGAATCTTTATGATACTACCAGCTTCACAAATAGCACAAAGGAAACCTATTCACAGCACATACATAAAAATTAATGCTTAGGAAATACTTTCTTGCATGCAAAACGTTATCACCTGATTTAAAAGATCTTAATTCTATTCTTTTAAGTATCAGTTGTAAATAAGTATTACCCTTATAAATCAAACAGTCATAAATCACATTTATGGTGTTCAGTAATGTCAAAAGATATCTGGTAGATTTGTCTTTGATGGATCTGCCTTGAAGAAGGAAATAAATAACTAGAAAATTCAGCATTTGGATAAATTGTATAAAGTTTTTCCACTTCAATTAAGAAGAATTTGTGTGTTGCAAATCAGTGTGATGTGAGACACGATGAAAGAGGTTTATATTATAAAGCACAGTCCATAGACATCACAGCAATATTTGGATTTTTTGACAGCTGGAAAACGTCTTCCCTTCAGAAAATAAAATGTAATACCACAATCCAACAGTGTTTTCTAGCTTCACTAGAAGTGAGAGGTGCTTCTAGTAGAATCAGAAGCAACTGATCTCAACCACCACAACTACAAAGCAAGGTAGCTAGTAAAATGAGCCTCTTGAGTACTTTGCAAATTAAATCATACTGTTGCTGTCCTGCCCTGAAGAAAAAGCAGAATTAATTTTGTTTGATAGCAGCAAGATTCGAGAGGCTTTCTTGAGTGAGAAGTTGTCATGTCATTGCTCATTTTCCTTTTTAGGCTTTGCACAGCCCTGAGACTGCATTCTTATATCCTATCCTGATAAACTGGTCAGAGATTGAAGTGTAGTGTGTTGAAACACAAAAACCATTCAGATTCATAAAGAATTTCATTCAGATCTTTAAAGAATTTAACTTTGGGAGTGAGGGGGAGCCACTATATAAAATAACAACTGAAAACATAACATGAGTTAACAGTTAACATACCAGTTTGCTTTCCCACCATTTGTGATCCACATCTTCTGACCATTAATGACATATTCATCTCCTTTCTTCTCAGCCTTTGTTTTTATACCAGCCACATCAGAGCCTGCTCCAGGCTCTGTTACACAGTAAGCCTAAAATAAAGTAAAATGCAAAGTCTTGAGGAATAAAAGTTCTATTTTTAGGCAACCACAAATTATTGCAGACTATGAACATCAAACTGATCTGTAAAAGGTTTAAGTGAACTGCATGGTAAAACTCAAAACAGTAAATAAAAAAAAATTAAAAAAAAAAAAAAAAAAAAAAATCCAAAAACCCCCACAACAGCTGTCTGAGCAAGAATCCAAACATATATCGGTTAATTTTCTTTATAAATGCATAATCATACATAAAATTGTCTTTTAATCAAACAGGACCATTCTGTAACCCTTAAGTCATTACTTCCTCAGGCTTCACAAACTCTGATGCGAAAGCTGAGGATCTTTAAAATCTGAAAATAAGAGCACCGAGTAATATTTCATTTTTACTGTGTCCTTCATTTTATGAGGCTTAGTTGTTCAGATTTTAATGGAGTGCACATGGATCTTTACTTCTTTCTATGTAACAAGTACTGCTTATATAGTGTTTAAGATCACAAAGAAAAGTTTAACTCCCATCCAAGTTGAGTTTCTCCTTGTACAAACCTCATACTTTTCTTGAACTCCTACACCCCCTCTTGAAAGGGAAATAAAAGATACTAATTTTTGGTAAGTGACTTAGGATGGGAACGATTTTCCAAGCAATATCTTCTATTTGCTTATTGATGCATTAGGTATTCCCCGACTTCCAGTAAATGCCACTGTTTATTTAAAAACCAAAATGGGCTAAGTTAGTGTTTTCTGGGAAAAAAAAAACAGAAAAAAACCCCAAGAAAAAAAGAAGAAAAAAAAAAGAAAAAAAAGGAGTAATATTTAATATGGTTTAGGAACATTCTACAGTGTAGCAGTTATACTTACACACATCATTGGTTCCTCTGTCATTCTCCCTAAATATTTTTTCTGCTGATGCTCATTTCCTGCAATGATTACTGGCATTTGCTGAAAGAAAATATTTAGACCATTAAGCCATCTTTTTAAAGTGCGCAGATTCTAGTTTAAGGGACGTAAGGAAAGACAGAACTTACCCCTAAGGAATTTGCTTCAATGGCAGTTTGAACCCCTGTACATCCATAAGCTAACTCTTCCGTAATAAGGCACGCTTCAAAACTACCAAGGCCAAGGCCACCTACAGTTAAAATATTTCATTTACTAAAATGGGTTTAAGTTGTAATATATTAGTCATTTACACAAATTAATTAACAAAAACGTATTTCCCCACATACATTTGATTGTGTACCGTGTTTGATTAGACATTCTCATGCCAGCTTTTTAAATAAAGTTTTGCCAGAAGAGTAACAGGTGATTTAAAAATTACATATCACAGTTCCAGGGTTATTGTGTGATTAATGCGGGACAAGTTGCACCAAGTGGCAAGAATGTACCACTCCAATTTTTTGACTACTTTACATTTGAGAATTAAGAGTTCTTAAGAAGCAGAGATAGGGGTCCTGAGCTACCACAGCACTTGGGGGGGGGAAACCCACAAGTGACCATATTAGTCAGACAACCAACTCAGTAATCTGCTTCTGCCAGAAGCTAACGCTTCAGGAAATACATACAAATACAGTAACAATACAACTATACTTCCTCAAAAATATTTTCCTGAGCCTTCAGGTGACTTCCTCAGCCAAAGAGATACCTCTCTTTGGTATCTTTGCTATGCTAACTCTTGACAGATATTTCTTACGAGAATTTGCCCAGTCTCTTTTTGAATCTCTGTAAAATTTTATCATCAATCTCACCCAGGGGCAACGAGTTTCACAAATTAACTACACACTGCGTGTAGAAACATCTCCTTTCATTTATTTTGAACCTGCCATCTGCTGACTTCATTTCATGCCTTCTAGTTACATTGAAAGGGACAGTGAACTACCAATTCCTTTTCACACTCTCCATGACACTGACATTTCAGACATTTCTCATACAGAAGCTACATGTCACACAGAAGATACATCTTTTATGATCTTTGTCATCCTTTTAGGAACCTTCTCCATTTCCACAATACTCTTTTGAGATGGAAGGATCTGACTACATAATGAATTAAGGAGGCATGTGCATTTTGGATTCAGCAGCATAATTATGCCTTCTGCTTTTTTCTTCATTCACTTAAAGGTCCCTTCTGACCTTAAATTTTATGGGTTTGACCACTTCTGAGCATTATGCTGACGTTCACAGAACTATCTATTATAAGCCCCAAAATCTCTTTTTTGAGAGGCAGTAACTAGTTCAGAAGATACCATTTCTCTGTGAAGTTCAGATTGCTTCTTTCCCTTCGCATCACTTTCCCTTTTTTGATTGCATTTGCCATTTTAACAGTCACTCAGTTTCATGACCTTCTCCTGCAGCATTTTGCACCAGCCTCATCTTTTCTACACTGAATAACTTAGTATTATCAGTAAACTCTGTCGCCTCAGTATTGATGCCCTTTTCCAGTTTATTTATAGATATTCCAAATAGCACAAGACCCAGCAAAGCTGCGCTGCTGATTTTTCCACTATGAAACCTGATGATTTTGAAAACTCATTTTGGAAGTTCAAGCATTCTATATCAACCAGGAATCCCTTGTTCACACACTAATTAGCTACTTCAGAGAACTCCAATGATTTTATGAGGCATGCCTTCCTTTCACAAAAACCCTTCTCTAGCATATCATGTTTATCTGCATCCACTATTTCTGTACTTCATCTTACTTGCTCTTAATTTACATGGTGTATCAGGCTTACTAGTACGTATTTTCCCAGATCTCCCTTGGAGACCTTTTAAAGCAATGCTGTCCAATTTGCCACTTGTAATTTTTCATTTAATATTAATCAAGTGATGATACACTGCAGTAGTCCAGCTATTTCAGCCTTCAGTTTCTCTAGAATTTGTAGCTGAACAAATCTAGTCCTCACAGTTGCTCTTTTGTCTCTTTGCTCCTTAACCTCATTTATAAAATTTTTGATACAAGATATATCCTCTGATTAGTTTCCAAAAAAAGGGTCTACTATGGACACTTTCCTAACTTTTTCAGGTAATATAAATGCAAAAAAGAAAATAATTTAACATTTTTTTCCCATGGTTACTTATATACCTAACACTGCCAAAGCACTGCTGTACTGCACCTAATCTAAACTGAAAAACTGTCTTTCTGGAAAAAACTCTTAAATTGCTCCAGCCTGTGTCAGAGACTAGAACAAAATATGACCTTCTAATTTCTCTGCCTAATCAGCTGACAGAGTGCACCAGGGGAACATTAGGCAGTTGTAATCACGGTAGGAAAATCTGGTCATAATTTACTAAATCATAATCTGTCTAATTTGTCTCCTGATTACATCCACACCTAGTAACACTTGTATGTGTCAACCTGCCTACTGATTAAATTTAGATTATTCAAGTATGCAACTGTTTATTTTATACAGAATCCATAATTACACATATAAATCTCATCTAATGCCCCTTCTTTGTTTCATTTTACCGATTAAAAAGAACATTTACTTACCACAGCTTTCTGGTATATGTGAATTCATAAGACCAAGTTCCCAAGCCCGTTTTATAAGTGGAAGAGGATACTGAAATAGACAGGGAAAAATCACTTTCTGATTCATCACAATCAACATTTTAAATTTTATGCAGGTTAAGATAAAAGTCTGTTTTTTCCCTTACACTATGGTAGATTTACCTCTCCAGTTTTGTCATATTGTGCAGCAACAGGAATAATTTCCTCTACAGCAAATTTACGAGCAGTAGCTTGAAACTCTTTCTGTTCATCAGTAAGTTCTATTTAAATAAAGAAATTAAAAAAAAAAAAAAAAGGTCACAAATTCTCTACTACCTTTAATTTTGCCAGTTGTCAGACTATGAGAAAAGAGAAAACAGGAGTGTCCTTCCAGGACAACCCAAACCACCACTTCCTGGGCCTCTTCCGGAAGCAAAAAAGCTCAGCTTCCTTTTCCTCCTGGGAGAAAACCTCCATTGTTCTCTCATCAACACCTACAATGCATTTACTTACTTTTGATGAAATTGTCCACAAAATATTGAAAACGGAGTAGACAGGACTGTGTAACATAAAATACATTACCAAAAGAAACAAGAAGAATGCCATGCTAATTAATTGGAGGAAGAGGAGGAGGCAGATGTCATCTGAAGATCCTGGTTATTCAGTTTCAAACATCTAGCTGCTGACCCACTAGATTTCCTTTATAATATGCCAAGATGAGGATGAATTTCTTTATAACCAACTATGACTACATTTAGTTACTTTAACATTGTAAACGGCAATGTGAGATAATTATTCAAAGTTAAGACACTTTGGCAGTAAAAAAGCTTAAAACAGGCATGAGTTAAAAAAAAAAAGAAAATCTTACGAACACTACACACATACCTTGACTTGCCTGAGCTGAGGAAGAAAGTAATTTTGATTTTCAAACACTTTTTTATAAAAGAATAAAAATCTGTTTAGAATAAACACCTTCATTTTAAATTCACGTTGAACTGCAATATAAGATTTCATATTTTTTTAACACTGCAATTTGCCCTTTGCCCTTAATTGCTGTATTTCTTTCAAAAACTGTAATACTTACCAAAGCTAAAGCCAGCTCCAGGTTTGCCTATATGTAAGTTTTGAGCAGGTTTACTAGAACATGACCTCCATCCATGCCCTGCAATGGTTTGAAGCATTTGCTAAAGAGAAAAAGAACATGAGGTATAAGATCTTTACAGCTCAAGTCTCCTAAAGCTACCAGCCTCACTGCAGCACAACATTAAATGTAGAATCCCTCTTTAGAAACAGTATCAAATCAAGTATAATACAATTACTACAGTGATAAAAGAATTCTTGCCTACCTTAAGTTTTGTTCCTGTGGCAAGCAGTGCTCACATGAACTGACAGCTATGCCAGGAATCCCAGGCTTTAAGAGCACTGAGCATGAGTGAACTGCAGTATCCACTTTTAAGTATTGCGCAACTGATTATTTAAAAATAATTAAGCACAATTAAAATTTATGTTCACAGAGACATAGCAGTATATATTTCTTTCATTTATACACACACTCGCCAAACCTGATTTTCTTGCCCGCTAGTGAATATTCTATCTATCCAATGTTTACCTACATGCAGATTTAGCAAGACTTTAAAAACAACCTACCTATTAACCAATATCTATCAGAATATTTTGATAAATTTCCAGACTCATGTCTGCTTTCTTTTAATAAGCTGCTGCCATGGACACTTAATGATTACTGTTATTATACTCCAAATAGGATAGAACTCAGCAGACTATCTGAAGTTTATTTTTCTTCCTCATACTTACCACAAATTTATTCTTTTTCATTGTAAGTTCTTTCTTTTTTTTTTAGTGCCCACAAATATTATTGTTACAGCTACTTTCAGATCACCTTAATACTGTACAAAAACATGCCTGAATTTGATTTTAAAAGGTTGTTTTATTCTCTTTCATCCTTCAGTAGTTATGAATCTCTGAAATGTTTGGAAAAAAATGAAAAATATTTAATTGGATAAATTTCTAGAAAGACCCATATCAATACTGTGCAAAAACAAATGAGCCTAAGCCCTAAGAAAAGGCTTGTTCTTGATTTTCTTATGTGAAAATGTAGAAAGGAAAAAAAAAAAAAAGTGTGATCACACCAGCCACTTATTTCACATTAAAAAAAATTGAATGAACCATAATAGAGCAAAAATATCACAAAAATTTTACTGGGAAGTCTAGAAGACAAGGACATTACAGAAAGTTACATAGCTGGGGAGGCAACAAGTAGCTTCAAAATAAAGTTGTGGTAGATAACTGTGCTCTTAAAAATAAGAATGCCATGCAGAGATGGTTACAAAGTCACTCGACAAAAAGCACGAAGAACACGGGCAATAATAGGTATCAACACAGTGAAAAAAGTTACTTCCAGAGGATACTGAAAACATCTATGAAGCTGAAAGGTGAAGAAATGAAGAAAGACCACTGCTAGGCATAGAAGAGGGGGAGGCTATGACATAATTGAATATTGAACTGTTAAGTCAGTTTATTAGTAGTTCAGGATTGCATTTTCCAGTAGGCAATGTATTATCCATTCCAAGTTTTCACAAGCCACAGACATTGCAAAATGGTATCTTGCTAAGTTTTGTGTTACTGCTACAACTCTTATATAGAAAAACAAAACAAACAAACAACACCAACAAACATCTAGAAAGACCTTGATCCTTCAGAATGTTTTATGCCTTATTTTATCTGGAAAGACTAGATGAGGTTGAAAAAAAGCCAGAAGATTGTAATAATTTTTTTCTTTTTTTTTAAGGAGCAACCCTTTACAGACTCATACATAGCTTTGCCACCAAAAAGTTTTGCCTACACTAGAAAAAGTACTGAATTCAAACTAATGCTAGAAGTGATACCCTATATGAAAGAAGCTGTCAAATTTATACTAGAGAACTTACGTCTATCGTGGTTTTTGTACCAGGGTAGAATGCAAGGTCAACACTGAAGGTTACTCTGGAAAAACTCAACGCTCTTCCCACAAACAGAAATATGAATTGGACAGGTGGGATTCATACCGGGAAGTTGCATGAGTGATCAAGTGACAAAGGATCATGGTTTGCTACATGTAAGAATTTGGATGACCATCTGTCTACTCTGTCAACTTTCCTACCGCTTGACTCAGAGGGACAGTCAATTCAGTCACAAGCTACTGCTAGTGATGCCCAGATGCAAGTCCTACTGCATTTCCTTGCACTACTGCATAAGCTCTGTCACAATCAGAAATATGATTGTTGAAGTGGCAAGACTAACACTGGAATAACCTGCTCTCTGGAAAAGGGTATGACAATGATACACACAGAAGCGATGCAATCTTTATTACCTTAATGCCAAAGGAACTACAGAACTTGTTTGAAAAGCTGCACATTACAGAAAAAGACAGGACAACAATAAGCTAAGGTCACTAACCCTGATTCTCCCTCACATAACTCAGGACAAGAATGAAAGGAGTTGTCAAGAGCAGCTTGCTGTTGGGGTAACGTGTCAGGGAGCTGAATTTGAAATACCAATGTCCTACAGTAGGCATTAACTGTTGGCTTCCCTTGCCTAAAGCATTACTTTTTATCTATAAACCACCAGCCAGCTTCGGATGGAGACTTCTTCCCTCAGCGACACTGCCACAGCAACACTTTGGACATGTGGTCAAGCTGCATCACTTTGGGGCAAAATAACACAGCTGCCAGGAAGCTCTGACGAAGGGCCCTTCAGCTAATTCAGACTCATGAATGACTCTGGAAATGGGGAAACCACAAAAAGGCCTGTGTAAATGCTAAACAAGGTACTACCTGAGTTTCGAGTAATTTTTACTTTCTAGTTTGAATCTCGGAGGACATTGGTGGTTCAATATAGCAGAATGTTAGTACTTCAGAAAAACAACTATGACACATCACACATATTTTAAAAAATTGCCACAGGTAGTACAGCTAGGTGTGCTTAAGGAAACGCACTGTATAAAACACCCTGAACTATAAGCCCTGATGTTTCGAAGCCGTCTCCATCGTTTGAGCGGGAGCTGCCAGGTGTACGCAGGATTTTTCTGGAGACCTCGCAGCGCGGCCTTTGGCAGGCACCTCGAGGGCCCCGAGGTTGTGCCACAACTCCTCCGAAGAGCAACAGACGGCAACGCCCCTTCAGGCCGCGAAGATTAAGGCCAAAACCTCACGGGTAATAACGCGGAGACAGGAAAAACAACAGCGAGCCCTGCACTGCTTTGCTCCCCCGCGGCTCCGGGGCAGCCCCTCGGCCCTCCAGCTGTCACGGTCGGGAGCGGGCGGCCACGGCGGCGGGAGCCGGGCTTGCCCCGCAGCAGCCGCCCTCGCTCCAAGACCCCGAGGCCGCCGGAGCTGCCGGCCCTTCGCCCTGCCGCGCTCCCGCGGCCTGCGGCCCTTCCCGGCCACCGGAGGGCCTGTCGCCGCCCAGCTCCCACTCACCGCCCGCCAGCAGCGGC